GTTGAGTCAATACTCGATTGGGAAAAATTAACCTCGGTCAAGGAGATTTGTAGTTTTCTGGGGATGACAGGTTATTACTGCAGGTTTGTGGAATGATTTTCTAGCCTAGCTGCTCATTTGACTCGGCTCACAAAGAAGAACTTCAAGTGTGAGTGGAACAAGTATTGTGAAATGAGTTTTTCAGAACTAAAGAAGTGGTTGACTACTGCACCTTGTTGGCCTTGCTGAGCGGGATAGATGGATATACAGTTTACAGTGATGCCTCCTACCTGGAGTTGGATTGTGTTTTGATATAGCATAGAAATGTTATAGCCTATGGGTCTAGGCAGTTGAAGAGTTATGAGAAAAACTACTCCACCCATGACTTAGAACTTTTGCGATTGTCCATGCCTTGAAGACTTAGTGCCATTATTTGTATGGAAAGACTTTTCAAATCTGTACCGACTATAAAAGCTTGAAATACATATTCACTCAAAAGAGTCTCAACATGTGTTAGAGAAGATGGATAGAACTCCTCAAGGACTACAATTGCAACATCTTGTATCACTCGGGTAAGGGCAACGTGGTAGTCGATGTACTCAATAGAAAAAGTGCAGGTATATTACCTCACCTGATAGTTTCAGAATGCAAGGTAATAGGGGCTGCACAATAGGTACAACTTCAGAATCTAAAGAGAGTTACATGTTTGGCCCACCTGGCTGTTCAACTTTAGTTGATCTAGAGAATAAAAGAAGCTTAATCCACCGATTCCACCCTAGCAGCCCTCAAGAAAGATGCAGAACAGGGAATAAATTCAGAATTTCAAGTCTCTGTCGATGGGTTACTCAGATTTTAAGACAGAATGTGTGTTCTATGTAACAGTGAGTTGAAAAAGGACATCATAATAGAGATTCATAGCTCAAAGTTTACCATGCATCCCGGAAGCACTAAGATGTATCAAAGTATGCGATCCCGATTTTGGTGGAACGAGATGAAGAGAGAGGTGGTCGACTTTATTTCTAAGTGTCTAGTATGTCAGCAAGTCAAGATAGAGCATCAATGCCTAGACAGACTATTTCAACCATTACTAATTCTGGATTAAAAGTGAACACGTCACAATAGATTTCATGACATGATTGCCTAGGGCATGCTCGGGATATGATGTTATTTGAAAAATTATTGACCAGCTCACCAAATCTTCCCACTTCTTGGCCATCAAGATGACCGACCCCTTGAACAAGTTAATAAGAATGTATATCTGAGATGTGGTCACGTTACATGGAGTGCTAGTGACAGTAGTGTCCAACAGGGACCACAGGTTCACTTCTCAGTTCTGGTCTAGTTTACAGTAAGGCATGGGAATAAAACTATCTTTTAGTACCATATTTCACTCTCATACCGATGAACAATCAGAAAGAACAATCCACACATTGGAGGATATACTCTGAGCTTGTGTTCTTGACTTCAGAGGCCATTGAGATAATCATTTACCCTTAATAGAGTTTAGCTACAATAACAGCTACCAAGCAAGTATCGACATGGCTCCGTACGAGGCATTATATGGCCACCCATACAGATCACTGATTTGTTAGGAAGAGAAAGGTGATAGAAAATTGTTCGGCCCAAATCTTATGGAGGATACTATAATCAAAATAGTTAAGATCATGAAGAACATTCAGACGACTCAGAGCAGGCAGAAGAGTTATGCGGATATCCGGAAGAGGGATCTGGAATTTGAGAAAGGTGATCGAGTGTTCCTTAAGATCACTCATTTCAAGGGAATCAATAGATTTGGTAAGAGGAAAAAACTAAATCCACAGTTTATTGGACCATTTGAAATCTTAAACAAAATTGGTACCGTCGTCTATAGACTAGCACTACCTCAAGAACTATCCAGGGTCCATAATGTGTTTCATGTGTCCATATTATACAAGTACAATCCGAATCTCTCTCATGTCTTGGCCCGTGTGCCCCTTTCACTTTTCAGGAGGTTCTGTCCTACGAGGAGGTACCGATGGGTATTGTGGACTAAAAGAATAGAGTAATCCGCAACTAAGAAATTCTATTTATTAAGATCCTATGGCAGAATTACACACAGAGAGAGGCCACATGGGAGTTAGATTCAGACTTCAGAGATAAATATCTCCAACTGTTTGATTGAGCGAGAGAGAGAGAGAAATTTGAGAGAATAAATTTCTTTTAGGGGGGGGGGAGTTATAATGCTCGAGCCCGAATTAAAAATTATAATTAATATATAATTTA